GGTTTACTAGAGGCTGCTCCCCTGCTGAACAAACATAAGGCCTCAAGGATTTGTGTTTCCATCTCCGTTTAGAGGAAAAGCTCATTTAAAAGCATTGGCATGTCTCTCGGGATAGAAATTCCAGTTGTCAGCCAGCTCGAATATTTCCCACAATGCCTTAGGGAACGGACCTGCAGCATGGGTGTCACAAGTATGGCTAGATGTACACCTTGCAGCTAGATGTACACCTTGCTGGGGTCGTTTGACCCCAGTACTCTTTCCTGCCATGGCAGGGGGTCGGGCTAGATGATCTGCTCAGGTCTCTTCCGGCCCTAGAAACTATGAAACTATGAAGTAGCACAGGCAGCCTCTGTGCGTGGCACAGGCAGATTGGAGAGGGGACAAGCAGCACAGCGGTAGAGGAGACTGGGAGCAGAAAGCAGAGCAGCAAATCTGGCAGGGCGAGGGGAGGGGAGTGGCACATGGGGGGGTGGGGAGGTACAGGGCAAATTTGTCGTATGCCTGCCAAAAGGGCTGAGCCCCACAGCTCTAGGTACTGGTTCCCTGATCAGCGTGTGAACTGAGTGCTGCTCCTTCTCCACGGCACCCAGGTGAGCAGCATAAGGTGAAGGTGCTGGCATGATCCATCTCTGAAGCCTCCAACCAGAGGTCACTGCACGCTCCCTAGCTGGAGCATGCAATGATTATGTTGGCTGTAACCAGCCCCAGGTCATCCCAGATAACGTGGGGAGCCTTAATTGTTGCGAGTGAAAACACTGCTGAGTTTAACAGACTACTAGACAAATGAGCCGCTAGGGTAAGAAAAGGGTTTTCAGATGGGATGCACGGAGTGCTGTGACTCCCTGGGCAAGAGAGACTGACATCTCATCTTTCATTGCACCAGTATTTCGCTTTGAGGCCAGCTTCTCAATAGGACAGAGCACTGATTGAGCAGCCGGGGGGAGCTGGAGATAACGGGGCTAGAGTGTGGAAAGGTGCAGAAAAGTTCCTCACCCCGTATGGTTGTGTTCCTAGAGCTGTAAATTTTATTCTTGGGCAATGTACCCAAATCACTGATTACTTGTGAGGTTTCTAGTTAAAATATCAATCCTTGTGGAGCAGAGAGATGATATTCTGACTTTTGGTCTTCCTTCTGCAACCACACAAGCCTTTCTAAGTCAGCTACACGATGTTTCCATGCAATGTTTTAGGTTGGCTTGCAATGACTGGGCAAGTATGAGTATGTCTGCATTGTAGCTACTGCGTGACTACAGGATACTCAGTCTAACCACAGCCGCAACAGCAACAAAGCTGTGCAAAACCATCTACGAAACTGTACAAATAGTCGTATGACAGCAGTCAACACTGAGATCCAAGCTGCTGTGATGACTGTTGGTACCTAAGCTAGTTGGCTCAGGAATGTCTACAGTATGCTGCACAGCATGTGGGTGATATACTGGCACTTTGGTGCCCACAAATCCCCCTGGAAAAGCAGCACCTTGCTCAACGAAATCAAGCCACAGTTGGTAGCTAGAAAGGGAACTCCCAAAGGCTTTCCAAAAGACATACACTAGCCTCTACCTGTGCATCTTCCTCCCAGAGCTCCCAGAAGATGCACTGCACTTCCAGACAGAGCACAACACAACTGCATCCTCCTGCAGGGCACTGGAATTCCCACCATGAGTCACTTACCTGACTGTAGTATGATCCCACTGTCTGTGTCACTGATTTCATCTTTGCCTTCCATGGTCAAGGCCAGGACAACGGGAAGTAACTTGGACAGATAGGGCACTGAGCCAAGACCTGCGGAGGCTTCTGTTGTATGGTCAACCGTGAGCTCCACCTGCTTAAACAAAGATGAAAGAAAGACTCACAAGTGCTTCACACACATGTATATGCATATAAATCTATTGTGAATGCAGACATACACTTGTTTGTATAACTCTACTGTGAACACACACACTCATTTGTGTAGATCAGGGGTGTCAAACTCACCTGTGCCCCCAGGCTGGATTTGCTTGCAGACTGGACCTGGACTGCAAGGAACCTCCTTGGCTGAACCCAGACCTAATAGTGACAGCGGCAGCAGCGATGGCTGTATTACCCCCCACCAGTGCCGATGCTCACCTCCCAGCTCATCTCACCTCTGAATTCCCAGCCCCTCTGGGAACCCTGTGGGCTGGGTGATATGGCACCGTGGGCCAGACAGAGCCTGTGGGCTGGACCATACATTTGACACCCCTGGTTCAGATCTCTAGGAAGCACATACAGATTTCCAAACATGCTTGTGTCAAAGATATGCAACAGGCTTGACATCTATTGTGAGTGCACATGCTTGCTTGTGTAGATCTATTGTATTCCTACTGATGGTTTAAGTCCAATGTGACTGTTTACACTCTCACAAACACACCCATTCATGTAAATACACTGCAGGCTCACACATGCCTACACACACGCACTTAAGGCCTTCATTCAGCTGAAATGTTTACACCCTTAACTTATCACTAAGAACACATACTTATTGGAGCCAAAGTCCATTCCTATCATGGGCGACTCATGCCGCCTTTGTCAGCGGGGGCATGTGCCCCCCCTCCGACCAGTTCTGCCAATGGGGGGAGGGTCCCCCAGCAGCCAATCTCGCTGCCCTGACCCCTGTGGGCAATTGCTGCAAGTGATGAGCTTGAGAGGAAAGCTGGATCCTTGGGAAGAGGGAAAGGGGCAAGATTCAGGTTCCACACAGGCCTGGCCCTTTTAAAGCCCGAAGTCCCAGTTATGTTAGCTCTGACAAGCAGGTTTCCACAAGGGCTCCCAATGTTTCACCACACAGACAGCTGGGAGAGTCAATGGTGGTGGCTAAGGATACTCAGGACACAGGAGGGGAGCATCATTGGGGCTCATGGGCCTATTCATTCTTACAGCTGTGCCCCCTAGTTCCCTTCCTCCATCTGCAAGCTCCTGGCAGAGTGCTAGACCTGCTCCCCCTCCTCTCCCCTGCCTTGCAGTTCTCGGTTCCTTCTGGAGCTGCAGACAGACAGCAAGCAAGCTCCACCCTGGGTGGGCAGGGACGGTTTGGCTGAGTGGAGTCTTGCAGAGTGAGCAGCAATTCCCCTGCAGGACCCAAGCTGCGTCCCCAGACAGCTGCAGTGCCACCTGTCCCTCCCCTTGCTATTCACCCTGCAGCTACTCTCCCGGCAATGGCTCTAATCCTGCTGTGGGCTGAGCCTGCATACCCAGGCTTCTTCCCCTGCCCCCGCATGAGTCAGCCTGTTGCACAAGTCACCCAGAGTTCCTGTCTGGAGTTTATCCTGGGGGTGAGGAGAGAAACTTTTATGCATAAAGGGGGAGAATGTGAATATATTTAACTACATTGCTATGGGTCCACTGGTACAAAGTCCTCACGTAGATACACCAACCCAGTGCACAATGAGCCTTGCCTTGGTGTGTATGACCCCAGTTGATTATTAAAGGAGGAAGTATTGCTCTAAAACCCAGTTTCCACCCCCCATCTGACTCAGTCTCAATTCCCCTAAATTAGATAGAGCTTAAGCGTATCTGCTCTTGATGGACATTGGCCAGTCTGCAGTGCTGAAAACATCCAGGAGATTGGGAGGCATCTGAGCAGAAGGATCTAACATATTTACTCTTTGAGCTGATACGGGGAGGAGGAAACTTGCTGGGGACATCTCCCAGCTGACAGCTGAGAGGCTGCATGCTGCAGCTCCAGGGGGTTGGTTCACAGGGTCCCAGACCTCTCAGTTTCAGGTCACATGGGAATCACAGCCACTGGGTTTCACTCTGAGTTTTAGGTTCAAAAAGACCTAAGCCAGACAGTGTGCCTCATTCTGAGTGGAAACCACAAGCCACCAGCGTGGCAGCGGGCAAGACTTCCTTGGTTTATTCTTTCAGTTCTCATCAGGGGAGCAGTTTCAAAAAGTAAGTTAAAGACTAGTTTCAGACCCCATCCTTGCCAGCCATTTACACTGACCTTTCCCTGTTATTTAAAGCAGTTTTGTCTTCCACAATGACAAGTGAAAGACCTACAGGAACAGCAGGGGAAACTGGCTGGGTAGACTCACTGGGACAGGGACTATTTTGATATCTTGTGTTTGTACAGCATCGTTTGCTGCAGGATCCTGGTCCAGGACTGGAGATTTCAGCTATCTCAACACAAGCACAATGATTGCAAGCCCTGTAAAGTCTGGCTCATGTCACCCTGACACAGCAGTGCAGACTGAAGGCACTCTGGAGTGAGTGGTGGGTATTCCCTGGCGGCACAGAGCAGGTAAAACCAATCCTCTCAGCAGCATAGGCTGAGGGTGTGGATCAGGAAAAGGTTTATGGCCAAAGTACCAACACTCTCCTTTTCTGAGCCTCAGTTGTGACATAGTGACACTAACCTGATTTGCAAGGAAGGATCTGAGGACACATGGGTGCAGTGATTCCCAACCAGGGGGCTGCAGTTCCCTGCAATGCAATGAAATTCTTTTAAGGGCGTCAAGGCGCTTTGCAGCGTTCGCACTGTTAGGCGTGCAAATTTAATTCGGAAGATAACCCCGGAGATTTGAAATAGGAATCCACAACATTAAAAACGTTCTGACCTGTTGTGGGCTTTCTGCGTTTTTCCCAACAACAAAATTGCTGTATTATTTTTCCATAATCAAAAAACAAGCAAAAATGAAGACCTGGCATTTTCTGAAGGATGCCGTGAGTCTGAAAAATGTTGGGAAACACTGCGTTAGGGAAACCCACTGAAGAACACACATACCTCATATCCCACCTCAGGTAACCAAGTCAAAATTTCCTCACCATGTGAGAAAGCTCTGTCATACTATTGTAGTTATCTGCAGAGCACAAGCTGGAAAGGAGCTCCTGAGTCACATCACTGCAGTCACCATGGTACATACAGTCCACATCTTGTAAACCGTATCATTTATGATAGCATTCCCTTTCTAAATAGCTCACTAGAGGCCAACAAACAATTAACAGGGGTTTCATCTTTTGTCCAATAGGTCTGTAAATTGCTTACAACAACCATCCCTGACGACGATTACTGATGTGCTGGTAACAGTAACATAAACCGTTCATGCCTACAACATGCTTCTCTCATGTATTAAGCTTTAATAAACCATTTGAAATGAAGCTTTAATAGAAGTGTGAGAAATGAAGCGGACCTATGTGAAACCTGGGTCTGCGGTTGTCACTGAGGTACCCCAAGACAAAGTTACTTTGGGGGTTTCACCACGTGGCCTGCATGGATATTTCCCAAACTAGGTGTAATATCAGGGTGGTTGGTCTCTACTAATAGCTAGCGTGAAGCTGTGTTTGCTTCTGTTATTCTCTTATCTGTGTATGCTTTTGTCTTCAGTCTTCCCAGGTACAAGGGCCCTTCCTAGCTCTCCCCGAGTGCCCTAGCCAAGGAACCACCCCGCAGCGGGGAAACAGACTGGGACAGTGAAGAGGATGCAAAGACGACCAGATCTGAGGACAGCAGCAGTGACAGCGACAGCAGAAGCAAGTCCTCCAGCGGGAGCTGGAGCAAAGCATGGACAATGGATGATCTGAGTTTGCAACCCTGTCATTGGGGCAGGGATGAAGGGACCGTGGTGTCCGGTCCGAGAGACTAGAGGGCTTGTGTGTGGGTGCACGGGCACGCATATTGTAATCGTTTTGGGTGCCCAGCGGGCCTTTGTACAGGTGCGCGGGTGGGGATTTTGTGATGGGATTATGGTTTTCCCTTTTCGTGTGTGACTAGGAGTGTAGCGATATATAAAACTTTATGTATATATAGAGATATATTTTTATAATACCCCCCCCCCAGCCAAGGAGGCTGGGTAACCCAAGTGGAGAGAGGGCCCTGTTGGGCATGGGCAGTACCAGCGGTTGCCTTTAGACCCCTGAAACTAGCTAGGCACTTCATCTTTGGATTTAAGGGGTTGGTACGACCAAGTTAATGTTCTGGTATTTGCTTTTGTTGGTTTCTCTTATATCTCTGTCTGTATCTCAACCTATGGTTACTGGTTTCTTATGCTTGTTCTGCTTTTATAATAAATCATTTTGTTGTTTGTCTCCTTTCTGGTTGCCTGTGGAAGGAGTGACTTCTGGGGAGGAGATATTCCAGGCTGGCCTTCTCCATGGAGAGCGGGACCTATAATTTATTCTTCCATTACCCAAAAGTGAGACAGAGAGAGAGTGTGTGTGTGTGTGTGAGAGGGGGAGAGGGGTGGGGCACAGCAGCTGCAGGATCCATATGCAAGGATGGAGCTGCAGGATCCACGTACAAGGGCAGCTCCAGGATCACTGCAGCTGCAGGATCCATGTACAAGGGCAGAGGAATGGAGGTGCAGAGATAGGGAGCTCTTTCAGGTCTTAGGTCTGTTTCTTAAGGTGAGTGGAAGCACAGTGGGGAGAACCTCAAGGCCATGGGTAACTGGCACCACCTTAGTTGGGGGGATCGTGCCCCTGCAGCGACCAGTGACTGGGGGACAACTGCACTGACTGGGAAGCAGCCACAGCGCTCCCAGAAGTGGCCACAGCGCTTCATCCGGCACCCCCACTCCCCAGCCGGCGCTCACAGGGGAGGGCACCAGCACTCCCACCTGCCCCCTCTGCCTGTCTCCTAAGTGGCAAGCATGGCCTGTCAGGGGGTGCACCAGTGCTCTCAGGGGGTGCACAAGCACCCCCTATGCATTGCCACTGCTCGGGGCTCTAGTGGTCCCCCCACAGATGGGTTTGTGACAATGTTTGTTCACACTTTTTTGCAGTTGGAGAATCAGTCACTTTACTCTGGCTGGATTTGCTTGTTATTTTTCATTTGTTCTCCAAGCCAGATTTCCTGTAAGCCCT